GTAATTTGAAATTACTAGTAGAACCATATAGTATATACGACGTAGAGAATATTTTATCGCAAAACAAAAATTGCGGTTAGATACCTTTAGTTGATCTATTGGCTATAACTTACTTAAAACTGTATATCTATTTATGTCCGTGCGAAATTCTTGTCTTATAACTGACCATGGTTGKTTCTGTCTTACGTAAATTTGCTTTGTTGTGCGTTGAACAGCAGTGGCGGCAGGATATAGAAATATTTGAAGCAATTTGAATAAAAAAAATAAAAAATTGTTTCATGTCTGAAAACTGACAGCCCTYTAGTCATTGCCGCTTATTAGGGGTGGTGGTAAAAATATTCTGAATATACCTCGGAATATACATACAACATGCTTCATCAAAGCCTCCACAATTTCGAGCCTGCACCACTGCAATTGGACAGGGAAAGTAATATTTTACTCGCTGATAATTCATCCTGTCCTAAAGTTGAAGAAGCTGTATAGATCAGTGGCGCGTGGAGAACTAAAGCATTTTCAGAGGCAAGTATATATACCCTTGAACAATAATGAACACGCATGGCTATTGGCTATTATCTTTCGTGTTTATAAACACGAAAATATGATTGGAAATGCTTTTAAGCATCGAAAGTACAAAATAATATTCTTTAAAATATACACTGAAAAAAACCAAAAATATATGCTCTAAAAATTAAAAAAAAAACCTGTATTAAAAAACTGTTGAAAATAATAAAAATAGTTTACAAAAAAATTGTTTATTAACATACTTAACCTAACAATTGTTGTTTATCGTCTGAAAAAAAAACAAATATTTGATAAATCACGTTATAGATTTTTTGAGTTATAGCTATTTAGTCCGAAAAAGTAGAAACATTTTAAGAAAATAGGTAAGCATTAATACGAAGAAAACATGGTAGGTATTATATGTTCTACCCGAAAATGCCCATAAATATGCAAAATACGATTTAGTATATCAAATACTATTGTACCTAATACTATAATATTGTCACAATTATACGTATTTAAAGTTTGAATTTTGCAAAATACTATTAAATACATAGAAATCACGAAAATATGCAAATCATTTGAGTTAGTAATTTCTCTTGTACCGATATTCTTATTCTTATTTATTGTTATTTGAAAACTGTAGAAACTTGAAACTTACACCGTATGTTTATTTTATAAATTCCTATTATACTTGATACAAATTTCAAAATATTTCAACTCCTTTAAAGTTATTTATAGACGCTTGAAATTGTCCGTTTATTTTGTTTATTACTATTTCTAAAATCTAAATGTCAATAGCATTTTATTCGTTGGGTCAAAAACTTGAAAATTGAATACAAAGTTAACCATACGTAGTTGACCTAATAGCAGTTGGAAAATATCAAAATTAAATAAGCACGTTTTTTTTTCATATATAACTTTTTAAATTTCAAAAATTATTAAACTGAAAATGTATTAATTATTTAGGCGTTAAAAATTTCTAAAACGTTCGAATTTTATAGCAAAAGATTTTTCCTTTTAGTTATTAAGTTCAAATTTGGAAGAACTGATAAGAATAATAATTTTAGATAATTAGTTAATTTAAAAATATTATTCTTGGTTA